AATTTGTAAAATGTTAATATTTATTTTGTTAGCTAAGTTATATATGGAATATTAAGTTCGTTTTTAATGTAATTTGGAAACAATGAAATTTTATAAAAATAATAAACTAATATAATGATGTGTCATTATACGATTGGAGGACTTAAATCCTACGTGGACGTCCTCAATGGCTTATAGCCTCAACTTTTATATAGTATAGATTTCAGTTACAAGAAATTATTGTATAGTACCAAGCAATTTATTTTTCTGGCCACATGTATTACATTTATCAACATCATCAACTTTCTACTTTTACCGAATACCTTTTACGGCAGAAAATGAAACAAAATATTATTCACCTAATAATGTCAAAATCATAGCTATATTCTTAATATTATTTTATAAATTGGTTAGATACCAAATTAACCCTTTACAGTTTAGCAAAAAAAAAAGACTTGGTAATCTGCAAAATCCTTGCAGCTGCAATTGCCAACAACTTTCCTTTGCAGCCTACTACAGCAGAAAGTTAAAATTGGCCCCCTTATCAAATATGGGCCTAGGCCCATTAGACTCTCCCGCAGTAAACTCCCCGCGACCGGAAAACTCCCAAAAAGTAACAGAAAAGATGCAGACATCCTTCTCGCTGATCCAAACGGTGGCAATCTCCGGCGTATTCTCCGCCGTCTCCTGCTGGTGAGTTATAGCATTCATCTTTAAATCTCTTCTTCTAGATTCCGTCTATTTTACTGTCTTCTGTTAACTCGTCGCATAGGTATGGATTCATGTTCGGTAGAGAATCCGCAAGAAAAGAGCTCGGCGGTTTGATCGAAGAACTCCGTCGCGGAGGTTCCGATTCTCCCTCTCCTCCTCCCCATGAGTGAGTGCAATTGATTCGAAGACGGAATCTCTTAGTTTCGATTTCAATTGTTCCCACAGTGTTCATGATAAGCTATCTTGCACTCTAGTCTGAGCAATTATTGTATAAACGATGTGTTATCAAATCAATTCGAGTTAATTTCAAAGTATGAAAGATTGGATTTACCAGACAATTGAGTTCATTGTCGACACAAAATAAATGCATATTGAGCGAGGATAAGAGAAAAGAATTGCATATTATTTGAGATGAGAGTTATAAGATGTACATGAAAATTTCATAGCATACAGAGTCATATATATAAGTGTAGACATCATCTTCTCTTTGCCCAGATCCAGAACTGTGCTAAAGCTTTTAACACTATACTGCTTTCTTCTCATCTCTATTGTTTATTATTATATACCACACTATATGTACCTATGTGTAGTGGAAATTTTACACTAGAGCAGCTTCCTCAACCGTCTGAGAGATCTTGCTTCCCAGATATCCAACATATAGGTCACTTCCTGTTGTGTCTTCTTCAGAGAGTCTCCTCCCATGCCCACCTTCCTTCATGTTCTTCACAAACTCCACCAACTGCTGCCAGTTTTGACCCTCGAACAGCCTCTTGTTCATCCTCAGGTACGTAAACGCGGTTAGCCCGTTCCCCGAATCCGACCTGTTCGTTGCAACCACTTGTCCGAACGCGCTTGAGTCGTATCTCTCTAAGGCATTCTCTCCCGCTAGCTCGGTTCCAGCCTGCCTTGTCGCGTTCTGCACTTGCTTAACCAGACCTTCAGGGGAGCAGTTTGCGTGCTCGGGTTGTTCACCGTCTTTCATCTCCATGCAGGTGAAGTTGAGGACAACGCCGTGTTTGTTGAACATCTTGGCTATGGGTAGATACCCGTCGTGGTTTCTTGTGTTGTAGTACCCTGCGGTTAGCTCAGCGGCGTGTGACCTGGTGTTGTAGTGCCAGTGGATTCCTGCTACTTTTCCTGATAGCTTAGCTCCGGAGCCTTGAAAGATTGCTTTCGCTGAGGACAGGAGGTTGTCTCCGTGTTCTAGTAGCTTCCCGGAGTACCATTCCATGAAGAACTTTCCATAGTCGCTGTTCCATGTTCCGTCTCTCCTGAAAAACTCAGTGTCTTCTGGGAGGTTCTTGTACTCGCCGGCGTCATGAGGTCCACTTGTTCCCCAGTTTGTTTTCCCTATTGATTCAGCATATGCTTGAAGCGAAGAGCTCATATACTGCAAACCAAGAGGTACATATAAGTGTTTGGAGTATATAAGTAAGCATAACTGTACACTATCTCCTGACTAGAATGTTCTTATGAGTTCAAGGCTTAGCTTACCTTGTCATAGCACTGGAACTCTCCAATTCCTGGGAACCTCCATGTCCCATTGCTCTCAGGGTATGATGGGTATCTCAGTTCTCCACACGGTCCCATTCCCACTTGAATTTCCTGCAATACATGAAGAAATGATGATACAGTTTGATTAGGACACTGTATCAGCTCGTGTCTTTCATATGAGTCTAGATTTGTACTTACCGCAATAACTCCTCCTATGTAATTATCGAATCTTTCACGGAAGCTCCTCATGAAATCTGAGTAGACCTGGATAGGTGTTCTTCCTCTAAGGACTGGCACAGAGTCACATCCCAAGGATATGTACTCAGGATTCCTTCTCCCAGATTTGTCTGTGTAGACAAGATCAGGGTTCTTGCTGATTTCTTCAAGCACCCATGGAGGCAAGGGAATACTAGATTTATAAGAGAGAAACCATTAGCTAAGCTAGAAGTGAGAGATAGAGACGATCTTATTCAAAAGGTGAAGTTTGCTTCATTACCTGCAAGAGTCTCCAACGTTTCCTCCGCATTGATGGAAAGACATAACAACCTGGAGTTTGAGACCGTGCTTTTGAACCATCTGAATAAGCTCAGCATAGCCATCCCAATTATACTTCATAGGTCCATCTTTCTCAACCAGTCCCCACCAAGCATCAACCATTACACCTTCCACACCAGCTCCCTTTAGAGCCATCAAACTAGCGTTCATGGCCCTTGGTTTGTTCAAGTGCCCTGACATTGTTACTGTGTCAAGCGGCAACATGACGAAAACCGGAACGCTGGAGTCGTTCTTGGGGTGTGGGTATGAGAGAACGTGGAGCTTCTCCCACCTCTCAGTGGTTTCACTTTCTGGCTTGTATGTCTTCTCATGAGTGAACTTCATCTCCTTGACCGAGCTCTTTGCTTGGAACTGATAAGTTGGTGGCTTCGTTTTGGCAAAGGACATGTGGGAGGAACTTTCTTGGTTTCTTGAACTTTTGGCATCTTTACGTTTGATTAGAGAACTCGAGGAATTGAGTGTTAATTCCATTGTTTCTTTCTCTTCTCTCTCTCTTCTGTTGAGAAAACGAGGAGAAAGGATAGATATGTTTGTGTGTTTGAGAGAAGATATGTTTGTGTGTTCGGATTTATAAAGAAAACTTATTGGCTTATCACACGGTTCACACACTTATCAAATGAAAAAGTGTAAATGTCACATCAACGCAGATATGTTCATTTAGCATTTCATCTGTGTATTCAGGTGTAGCCTAGGTAACTAAATTTATTTTCTTGTTGGTAAATTATTCATTTACTCACTCCTGCAGTTTTTACTTAGATATGTTTATTGATTATAATCTTTACTCAGCCATGGCTTTGAACACACAAGGTTCGTGTGGCTGAAGTTTCTTATGGCCTCATGATTTTAGTTTGAAAAAGAAGATAATTGCAAATATCTATTTCATTATAACATTTCTTGTGGTTGCTGTTAAGTCTGCTTTTTTCTTCTTCTTGGACTTTATGTCCTGGAAGGTTTGTATTTTCCAACTAAGCACCAGTTCATTGACCCATAAACTTTATAACAAAATCTAATATGTTCGTTGAGATTTCTTATGATGGGCAATATATTGTTATACCAAAACAACATTACTTTGATGTAATAAGGCTTTAATGAGTTAATGCGATTTTAGACATATATGTTAAAGTTTATCAATGGAGTATGTATTGCTTGTTCCATTTGATCTTTATAAACCATGTGAGCTTCAAGTGTTCTATTAGAAATAGAGTCCATACCGACTACAAATATTTTATTTGGGAATCTTTCTCTCTTTCCTTTTCTTTGTGACTCACTGAAGCTGACAGTTTAGTCTTTTTATTCAGATGACGTGGATTGCATTTTTGGCTATTTCCTCTTCTGAGGACAAGTTGTTTCTCTCGTTTCTAATTTCCACCATTAATTTTTTGAGTGGTAGAAACTGATCCTTATCACTTTGGCACCTTTTCTTCTTTGGCTTGTGCTTTTTATTCACAAGGTCTAGGGAGTGTCTAGCAAGGCGGGGACTACATTGGACATGGACGCTCCTGGATTCCTTGTATCCTCATTAGTAATCTGATAGTTAGAAACAAATGTGTTTTGTAAAATGCTAAAGTTTAACTTCCCCCATGATTCCTTATGTTAATGTTCAAAATACCATATAGCAGTAGTAATAGTCACTAGCTAAGTAAATAAATTTATGCTCGGTTTCCGGTTTTATTCTGTCTGCATGTTGTGCCATCATCTATGAGCTATTAAATTAAAATGTGCACATGCTTTATTGTGACGCTTTCTCAAAACTATACAGTATCCATTGTAGGAAAATCATGATTATGATTTGTGACGAGTAATATTGTTGAAACCCTTTTTCTCTTTGATATTTTCATGCCCATGGAAAGGTTTGAGCTTTATTATGGACCGTTGGTGGAAAAAGTACAAAGTGTATGGACCAATTCACACACGCATCAGCAAAAATCCAAAGTTAGTAATGAGTTGATATCTTCTCCCCACGTAACCTGCTTGCTTACCCTCCTCCCCCCACTTCTTTTCTTTCTCTTTAAGTATTTGTTTACTATACAGGTATACATGTACAGTTTTTGACTTTGATCTCTTAGTCTTTGCTGCTTCTTCTTGTTAATTTGGCCGACATCTGATCTGGTTAAGCTTCTTTGTCTTGACATAAATTGTGAAACATTGACTGGCTAGGAAATATTCTGTAAAGCAGACTGATATGGTAGCGTAGTTTTGTGGTTAGCTCAATGGTCAAAAGGAATTCACCAGCGTCTTGGCTTAGGTTGAGTTTGTGAAACTACAGAAATCAGAATCTTAACAGTTAAGCTTTATAGTTTGTCATTGTCGCTGAGATATTTTTATGTTTTGTGAAATGTAAAGAAGTGATCGTCCAATAAGATCAATAAAGTTAACTAGTTTTGTCTTTTACAAGATATTTTCTCTCCCATCTCTTCTTATGTTGAATCATTCTCAGAAAGGTACAAGACATAGTTTCACATAAATATCCAAGGAAATATCAAAGCAAGATATTTGTAGTCTACATGTAACAGAAAGATCTCTGACAACAATAATAATAATTCAATAGAGTACTGCTCAATGCATAGATATTTTGTAATGTTTTTTTGATTCAGGACCCATCAAGAGAGAGAGAGAGGTATTAAGATTCTGCAATGGGGAAAGCTGAGCCAATACGGTTGTTGCCAAGTCGGTAACACTTAACATTGACACTGTATGGACCCAACTGAATGTAGTTGTCTTCCCTTCCCATGAAGAAACACATTGTGTAGAGAGCCACCTCGAACTCTGGACTTACTCCAACTAGAGTACTTGACACTGATTTTAAAACACCGTTCCACTCGAACTGGATCGTTAGCAGTTGAGTCTCTGAATCAGGCTGCAACAGGATCAAAAGTGTTATATGTCAGTCAAACACCTGTTGTATGTTTCCAAGTGCCATATGTATTAAAGAACAGAGATGCTACTTACAATTTCTCCTCGACGTCGGGGGAATATATAGCCTTGATAGTCCACTGATCCTTTGGCTTCCTCTAGGTAAAACTGAAGCCAGTTATGGAAGCCAGAGACTTGTTCCCCACCACATTGTTTGATCTCACCTACAAAGACATGCTCAAAGGCAGAAGAGGAGCCAGAGGTACCTCCACGGCCATAAAGATCAAACCAGAGACTTGTCAGCATTCTCTTGAACTCTTGGTAGCTTCCAGGAGCGACGTCCTTGAGGACAAGGTACTTGTGAAGGTACTTAATTATAGCGGTTCTGCTAATCTCTTCAATGAAAGCAGCTTGCTCTTGCCTCTCTTCTTCTG